AAAATGATCGTCCAGGCTGAATTCAGCTGGAATTTTCCATGGGCCTGTCTGCACTTACTTCAGCGTCTCGATCTTTCGCAGCCTCGTAGATCTTGGAACTGCTCTTTCCAAAAGAAGTTCTGTAGTAATTTTTGACATTTTTAATCTCCGCCCCTCTGCTGGTATCACTAATCAGTGAGCTGTAGGATCTCTTCTTGTAACCTTTCTGGTAAAACAAACAGGAATAAGAAGTAGTCCTTTCAACTGACGCCAAAAGAAGGGAAAAAAAAAAGTTATGAGGTTAGCTACTGATTTTGCTGCTGTATTTGAAGCCATCTTTTTTACATAGTTGAAATGAAAATACCAGAGACTCTTATTCCACTGGGCACACACTCCCAACACGCTGACCTAACCCATCTCCAAAACAACAGCGATGCCTCCCTTGGCTATTAAAGTGACAGACTGCTGTAGATGAAGGCTGTCCACGGGGTGACAGCACTCAGGACTAGGACAGTCTCACAGTTACCTGTTTGTACCTCTCCTGAGCCACAGGGCTCTGCTCCAAGAACTCTGACATGCTTTCAAATAAACAGCAACAGTAAGAATAAATACACCTGTTGTGAATGTCTTCCTCCTAAGGAAATGACACAGTATGCTCACTGGTCTGAACAGATGGATAGACTCTTGGCTGACAACTTCTAAATTCCCTAAAATTTTAGAAAACTGAATTAATTACCAGAAATGTAAATATCCACCAATCAATAACATCATTTCCTCACCAAGAAAAAAAAATCAACAGCATTCTGTATGTCATTGGTAATTAACAGATGTTTTCATGCATTGTTGTGGACAGGACAGTACACACACACACACATATATACACTGATATTTAGAATAACACCACCAACAGGGCCAAAGTAGCTTCATGAAATTACTAGTTCATGGCTTACCACTCTTTCTGACACACATGCCAAGAGAGGGAAATAAAAGAGAAAAGAGCTCGAAGGCCAGGCTCGCTACTGTCTTTCTGTGTTAGTCTCACCGCCGCCTAAATGCCACTCCAGCAAATCGCGAGGAACACGCGAGGCACTAAGCTGTCCTTCGGCTCGGCTTCGGCGCCAGAACACGCCTACAGCACCTGGACCGTTGGGTTTGATGAACAACGGGGCATTGCTTTGTTAACACTTGTGAGTAAGGACAACCCTTCACGTGTGGAATATTTTACACCAGCATAAAAAGCACTGAGCCTGAAAAACAGTTTGAACAGCTGCTCTTCAGGGTTTGATCCTTCAAGTGACAGAGCTGTCACTGAAAGCCAAAGCAGAGGATCAGGCCCTTACCTGCTGGACCAAAAAAAACCTCCTTACAGTATCTATACGAAAAAAAATTGATACCAATGACAGTGGATGTTCCCATCACCCTCTTCTGGACCACAGACACCGCAGACACAGCTGTGTCACCCGTGACACCACGGGGGCCGCAGGGAAGACCATGACACACCACAGCCCCATCACCACGACATCACGGGTGACACTGCAGAAGGCACATGCGATTAATTACCCTGACGAACCCCGTCACCCCATCCTAACCGGGAACCGCCACCGACTCTCCTCCTGCCCCGCAGCAGCCCCTCCCGGGCTCGGCAGTCCAACGGCAGGCTGTCGGTTCAGGCCAGGCTAACGCAGCAGAGATAAAAATGAATTTAGTTTTCACCACCCCACACCTGCTGGAACACCGCTTCGCCTCAACCGAGGCGGGGGCCCGCCCCCCC